ATTCTAGATATAAAATAAAGAACAATCAAACCACAACCCATAGAACCATAGAGGCTATATATATAGCATGGAGGTCCCTAGGACGACTATGGCTTGTAATAAATTTCGGTTTTACTAAAAAAAAAAAAAAAAAAAAAAGATTATGATGAGAAATAACTGATTATAGTGGGGCTTTCTTAGATAATGTTTCTCACTGGGAGAAAATTGCAGCCTTCTGGCTAAAACTGAATTTTATAACATCAATACTCTTCAGCTTCTGGGCCTAATTGCTGTATAAGGAATCTATCCTCTGTGTTGTAGAATAGACATTTCTGGAAGTTCTGGTGTAGACAAGTACATCACCAGCCTTACCCTTAGTTTTTGCAATTCACATTTATTTTATGACATCCCATTGGGGAACACATTTGTCTCCAACTGAGTTCTACTTGATTACCGTTTTATATTTCTATTTGCTGTCAAATATGCTACATTTCTGATATCTCACAAAAATCAATATACATGCTACCTAGATAGAAGAAAATGGTTCATAGGATTAATCATTATGTAAAAATACATCAAAATATTTGAAATGTCATCTCAAACCATTTTCAATGATTATTATCAAAATAAATAACATACCAAATTCCATAAATTTGCTAAGCCTGGTTGCATCTGTATCATTTTCTACTACAAAAGAATTTCTTGTCAGTTCTATAATAATAGTTCATGATTTGGGACTCCACAAAATATCTGTGCTTTTACTTGAAAGGTAGGATGACAAATTCCAAGCTGCATCTGGGTGGTGCTGTGAATCATTCGAGTTCAGAAAACAAAAGAATAAACTCCTTTCCAAAGAGAAAAATGTGGGCCGGGCGGTGGTGGCACACACCTTTAATCACAGCACTCGGGAGGCAGAGCCAGGCGGATCTCTGTGAGTTCGAGGCCAGCCTGGGCTACCAAGTGAGTTCCAGGAAAAGTGCAAAGCTACACAGAGAAACCCTGTCTCGAAAAACAAAAAAAAAAAAAAAAAAAAAAAAGAGAGAGAGAAATGTGGTAAATATTGGTATTATAAAAAATGTGATAGGACATTTGAAAAGTGCAAAGGAGCAGAAAGGAACACAGTGAAGCAAGTAGAGCATAGGTTTGTCTGTGTTATTAGGGGTGGTGGGAAATTATCAAGGTGCCATCCATAGTAAAAATCCAAGAGCTGAGATGAGAACTAAAAACAGTGAAAATTTATTACATGTAATTATGACAGGAAGTTTCTCAAAACCTGGAAATTCACAAGCTAAACCATTTAGAGCCTCAGATAGAAATATACAGATAAAAACTTCTGTACAGCACATAAGAGTCATATGAAAATAAAATCATATCTTACCTAAATATTTCACAAACAGGAAAGGAAATTCTAACAGAAGTTTATACTAACAAATGTTAATGTTAAAAAATCAGAGAGATCTCAAATAAATAACTCAATGATATGCATTAAAGTCACAGAAAAACAAGAACAAGCCAAAACCAAACTCAGCATAGCTGAAAGAAATAATAAAGATCAGGGCATAAATTAACATATTTAGACTGAAAGAATACAAAGAATTAATAGAGCAAAAATATTTGAAAAGGTAAAAAAAATCAATAAACCCTTAGCCAAATTAATAAAAGGAAATGGAGGACTCATATCAATAACATTAGAGATGAAACAGAGGACTTTTCAACATATACTAGTATAATTCAAGTGAGTATTAAGGAATATTTTATAATCTATATGTGATACCATAAAACTATAAAAAATAGATAAATCTGAGGACACATATGATGTATTGAAATTGAACCAAGGAAGGCATAAGTATTGAGAATATTTATAGAAACAAGATTGAAGCAATAAGAAAGACTACTCGTAAGAAAAAGATATCTAGATCAGCTGGAAGCATTACTGAGTTCTACTAGACCTTTAAAGAAAAATTTACATTAATGCTATTTAATATATTCTTTGAAATATGGGTAGAAGGAGTGTTAAGAAATTCATTCTACAAAATTTCATGTCACTATACCAAAACCAGGTAAAGATAGATCAAAGAAAAACTATAGAACATTGTTCTAATGAATATATACAAATAATGAAATATTTGCCAATTTAATGAGAAACAGTTTTAAAACTATATGCTGCAATAAAATCTATTTCATTACAGACATATAAGCATGTTTAAAGTATGCAAATCAATAAGGTAATGCAGCACATAAACAGACTACTACAGAAATGATGTGATCATCTTAACAGATACATAAAAGGTCTTTGACAAAGTTCAAAATACCTTCCTGATGAAAGTTTTTAAAAAGCTATGTATAGGAACATATTAACAGATAATTGTTGCCACATGTGACAAACTTACAATTATTATATAATAAATAGGGTGAAATCTGGAAATACTTCCTCTGAAATCAAGAGTAAGACAAGGGTATATATACATGTTCTCTACATACTTTTGTGGAGTGCTAGAATTTTTCTTATAGATTATATCATGCTATATTTAAAACACCCAAAATATTTTATCAGAAAATTTTGAGGCTTGGTAAATACTTTAAGAAAAAAATTATTTTATATATAGACAATGAGCATGCTTTTAGCAAATCAAGGTAAACAATTCCATTTACAATTCCTTCAAAAACTAATAGAATATCAGGAATAAAGTTGAGCAAGGAGATTAAAGGCCATTACAGTGAAATTTTTGTTACACTAAAGGTAAATCAAAGTTGAATCTAGTAAATGGAAAGACTTCCCCATGACCATGGAATTGGCAATCTCAAAATTATAAAACCTCTCTAAGTTTCCAAGTAGTCTAAAAGTTCAATATAACTTTTGTCAAAATTGAAATGAAATTCTTTGTAGAAAGAGAAAACATGATCCTAAAATTCACATGAAATCTTAAAACATCCTTAGTAGCCCAAGTGATGTTTAACAGAAAGGGCAATGATATAGATATTATAATACCTTATTTCAAACTATATCACGGAGCACAGAGTCATAGTACCAAAAATATGACACATGTGCTGGAAAAAAAACCCAAACAACACCCCCCTCAAAAAAAAAACATATGACCAAATGGGAGAGAATAAAGAGACTAAAATAAGCTTATACAGGAACAACCTTATAAATGCTTTTTGACAAACACACACACACACACACACATACACACACACACACACATACACACACACACACACACACACATCAGAGAGAAGAAAGTATTGACCACTAGTGCTGGGAAAACATGCAGATAAATGAAATTAGATAATTGTCTTTGATCCTGTGAAGAAAAGTCAACTCAAAAGAGTTCAAACACCTTAATGTAAGACTAGTGAAAGCACTGAATCTCTAAAACTCCAAGTGAAAAATACTGCAGGATATAGACAGTCAAAGTTTTTTTTTGCAAGGACCCCATTAATACAGGGAATAATCTCAAGAGTTGAAAAAAAAAGGAAATACATAAAATTATAAAGCTGCCTACCAAAGGAAACAATATCGTGGAGATACAAACTACAGAACAGGGAAGGGTAATTACAGCTATAAATATTGGAAGGACTTAGTATCTAGAATTCCTAAAAGAATCAAAGAAGAGAATCTTCACAAAATCAAAGGGGCCAATGAAATCAATGGCCACATCTCAAAAGAATACATAAACATGTATAAATGTGTGAAAAAAAGTGTCCCAAATCTTTTTCCATCAGGGTAATGCAAATTATCACCACTTAAGTATTCCATCTCACTCCAGTTGTAAGAGTTTTCATAAAAAAGAACAATAAATTGATAAGCTACGTTTCACTTTCCTCAGGAGAAACTGTCTAAATGTGAATCTGAAATTAGAATGAAAAAAAAAAAACCTACCTTCACATTACATTAGGGAAGGAATAAATGTCAGTTGTCTTTTATGTTTGTTAGTCTTTTTTTTTCTTTTGGCTTTGTTTTTTTTTTGATACTATCAGGCCTCAAAGTCCTGATCCTTCTTCAGCCTCAGGAATGCTAGGATTACAGACCACAATGCCTCTTTATCTCTGCTTTTGTAAGTTATTGAGCCCCAAATTAGTTTCTGTCACTTACCTTCTATTGTGGAGTTATTTACTCTTCCCATCCTAACCCTATTTTTCACCACAGTGAAAAAGAAAAAGCTCCATTTCCACCTAATTCTCATAATTGGTCATTAAACTGCAGTCTCTTCAGCAACTTTTCTTCTGTACTTTCACCTATGATGCTTGGTATGGTATGATGTTTTTCCTCATAAATTTGTGATCATCTCTCAGATTGTTTAGAAATTGACGGAAGACTTCTTCATGAGCCAATCTCTATTTGACTTTTGTGCAGTGGTGAAGATTCATTCTCTTTCTTGTTAGAACATTTGGACTTTCCATCTTGGTGAACAAGTGGAACAATGACTCTTGTCCCACTTTTTTTTTTTAAAAAAGAGTATTGTTGCAGCTCATCCTCTTCCAAATCCTCTCATCTCTATGACCCTCAGCCTAAGGTGAGTTTTCCTGATCAACCGGTAACATAGCACCAATCAAGAGGAGATGTCTAGGTGCTCACTATCTTTTGCATTATTACAAAGCATGCACCAAATGCATATTAAGTTTCATCTTACCCATTGCAAATATTTCCAAGTAACTTTGTTAGGCCAAGCACTGCCCATCGCTGACTTTCAATCATGAGCTCTTGTTTTTTAGGAACCCTTTTCAAGTTCTTCTGTGTGGTCTAGTTTTTGTAAGCTAAATTACAGGGCTTTAATGCCAGTAGTGCATTACATAAACCACATACTTCAAAATGCCTTTTCAAGGTAATCATAGCTAAATGAAGCAATGCTCATTTTCATGTACATAGGAACTTCTGGCTTTTCTTGTGAATGCCTCTTATCATATCTGTATCATAATATTTGAAAACTCACCAGGGTTAGAACTAACCCTCTTCAATTGTTTCCTCTCATTTTAAAAATAAGATCTTAATGGCTACATATTATGCAATCAAATTCCTTCAGTACTGTGGAAAAAAATTTAAATTGTTTCAAAAATGCTATCTGGGGCTTGGAGGATGTTGTAGCCCAGTAGTAGAGAATCTTGTGTCCCCAAGCATGAAAAGAAAGCTAAGTTTTTATTCTCCATCCCAACACAGTATGTAAGTAACTAATAATCAAGTGAATAAATTAATAAATTCTGTGTCAGGCCCCCTAGCCCAGGAATTCTTCTCAAAGGCACCATATTTCATTTTTATTTTATTTTCTCATAAACCTAATAAATACTGAAGCAGAATTCTAAAATGCACAAGGCACTTTTAAAATAGATATATAATTGATACAGGATTGGAAATTCCTTACTGGAATCTTAGGGCTGGAAGAACTTTTGGATGTCTTGGGCAACATGACAATCCTCTGTCAAAACAAACAAAAAACAAAACCCAAACAATGACAACACTAATAGACATGCTGATGTTGAAGGGGAAAAACTCAAGGGGCCTGACCTTAGATAATGAACTACAAGCAATTAATGACTGCTCAGAGACTACCAAGGAAGGGCCTCCTAGTTAGTTATCTAATACTAAGTGGTCAGCCCTGGAATCACATTCATATAAGCAACAATAAAGGGACACAGTGGGTTGTATGAATATATTTATCTTTTTATAAGTCCATGTAATAATAATAATGAAAGAAAAAGAGGTCATTAATTTGAGAAGTGGTAAGAGTAGGAGGGCTTGAGAAGGTCTGGAGGGAGGAGAGAGAAGTGGGGAAATGTTATAATTATATTTTACTTATGACTTTACTGGTATGGTTCCGTGTGTCTTAGTGTAACCAGGATGCCTCTGGAAAAACAATGCTTATTTGTAATACCACTACACTTTGAAGAGTTTTTGAACTCATTAGTATTACCTGTTCTACTGGCTTGTTTTGAAATTTGTTGTTTAAGTTTCTTGATAATGGGGACACTGTAGTACTGAATTTGAGAAACACTGCATTATTTTATTGATTCAATGAGTCCATTTTGCATAAACTGACTCAGTTACTATCCTTGATACTACATGTTTTATCTAATGCTGCAGTAGTCTGCATTCTTAATTTAGATTCTATATGAGGGAAATATCACATAACATCAATGTTTGTTCTCTTTATGAATATAGACAAATGGATGACATGGACTACATAATAGAATTTGAAAAAAATCTTTCAAAAACGTATTACAATAAATCTGAGTCATACATACAAGTGTGAGTTTCTACATGTAGAATTTTGTTATTATGTATGTGCATGTGTTGTCAGAGAGAAGGAACACACTTTGAAAACTGGCCTAAACTGGGGGCTGGAGATGAGAATGTGACCCTGATTTATGTAGAGACAATTGATGCAGTCTATAATTTTGATTTTGATATTTTCTACACAAAATAATAGACCAATGAATATATTTCAAGTACTTTTTGACAAAAGGCACTTGGTTTTGCCTGCTTAACATCCACTTAACATACATTAGACAATGCCATTCATTACCAAGGGAAAACAATTCACCCTCAAAATCTTAGTCTATTTGGCTTAGTGAAGCTGAACCAACTGTCATGATCAAAGAGAGGGTTATAGAATGAGGCATATCTGAATAGCAATTTTCAATTACAAGTAAACATCATTGGCTTAAACATGACATAAAGTCTAATTAAACATAAAGTTTAAACTCTCTATCTCAGAACTAACAATCCACAATACCTGGGAATCTGGTAGGAAATTATCCCTCTTTCTCTTTCCCACCACTACAGTTCTTTCATTCTCATCCCTAACCCATGGCAAAACACTTGCCACCTCCATTTCCTGGGGACTCTGATTCCAGTGGCCTCAGTATTCCTACATCATATGGACCCATCAAGACCACCTCCGTTCCTTCCTGTCAGTCTCAAAATACATTCTACACTGAACTTCCAGTGACAATATTTGGCAGTGACTCAGGTCGACAAATCCCATCATCCTTGTCTTCTTCTAAGAGCTCTTCGTTCTAACCCTCAGCCCAGTAACGACATGTTTACAAGTTTCCCCTCCCTCCCTTTTCTACTTCAGTCATTAGAGAGTAGAGCTCCTGATTCAGACAAAGGGTCCCTCTAGTTCTTTCATCCCTGTTTCTCCAGATGATTCATTGCCTTACTGTCACCTTCATACAGGATATCCTCTTCCTACCATACCTCTGATTCCCTGGGGACCCCCACTTCAAAGGTGTGAGGAGGATACCCTGAATTATTTCCCTTTTCTCCTATCCTACCTATAGTCCTCCCTGCAACCCACCAACCTGCAAAAGCTCCTCTACCAGGCAATGTAATGAAGACTGTGAAAATACATTGTAATAAAATAATGAAAACAATTTATGACACAACAGTAGAAATTAGCAAAGAAAGAGATACACTATAAAAAAATCCCACAAACTAAGATAAAATCGGAAATGAAAAACTTAGGAAACCAAATAAATCTGTGAGAAAAGTCCTACCAACAGATGCATGGAAGGGAGAATGTCAGTTGTCAATGACATGGTAGAAAAAATGGATACATAAGTTAAAGAAACTGTTAAATATGAAAAAAAATCCAGGCAAATTCAGGAAATCTGGGATACCATGAAAAGACCAAGTCTATGAACAGTGAAAATAAAGAGGAAGAAATACAGGCCAAAATCATAGATGATATCCTCAAAATCATAGAATAAAGTTCCATTAACCTTAAGAAGGAAATGCTTATCAATGTACAAGAAGCACATAGAACACCAAGTAGACTAGACCAGAAAGGAAAGTACCTTGGGCACATAATAATCAAAACAATAACCATAGAGAACAAAGAGAGACTAAAAGCTGAAAAGGAAAATGACCAAGTAATATATAAAGGCAAACCCATTATAATAACACTTGATTCCTCAACGGAGACTCTCAAAGCCAGAAGGGCCCAGACATATGTTCTCCAAGTTCTAAGAGAACAAAGATCCCAGCCTAGACTACTATATGCAAAAAAAAAAAAACTATCAATCACAATACATGTAAAAAGAAAAACATTCCATATAAAACTAAATTTAAGCAGTATCTATCTACAAATTCTGCTCTAAAAATGTCACCAGAAGGAAAAACTTCACACAAAGACCCCAAAAAGAGAAAAAAATTAGAGACCCGTCTCTCTTATGAACATAGATGTAAAAATTTTCAGTAAAATCCCTTCAAACCTAGTCCAAAAACATATAAAAAAGATTATCCACCATTATCAAGTAGTTTTCATACCAGAGGCAAGGGAAGATTAAACAGAACAGGGTTGTGAAGAGGATTTATGGTGAGGAGTATAAAGAGGGCAAATTGAGGGGTCATATGGGAAACCTACTACAGCAGATATTTCTTAAAATATATACATATAAGCCGACAGTGTGATGCATGCCTTTAATCCCAGTACTTGGGAGGCAGAGGCAGGCAGATCTCTGTGAGTTTGAGACCAGCCTGGGCTACAGAGTGATTTCCAGGAAAGGCACAAAACTACATAGAGAAACCCTGTCTCAAAAAACATTATATAATTAAATAATTAAACATTAAATAATCTGAATGCAAATAATGGGGAAGACAAAGCCTCACTAGACAACCCTTGCTACCAAGTGAAATCTCCAGCACCAGGAATGTGTTACATATTATTGAGTTCTTGGTAAAGGAACCTCACAGAAACTCCCAAACAACTCAGGCTATTGCTGAGGCTATTGGTTGGTCTCAATAACCTGAAAGTAAGGCCTCATTACTGAAAACAACACCCAAATAATTCATTTAACATGGAGAATTTGAGCTGGTACCTACCTAGAGCCTTCACTCCTACTGACTCTTATTCATTGTGCTGGAAGGTACCCTGCATGATGCCAAAGGAGAAAGGTAAACACTAACCCAACAACATTTTTTTAATCTACTCTGGTGATCCATCTGCAAGATACATTGGTGCAATAGTGGCATAAAGGTTGTGGGAATAACAAACTACTGTCTGGTTAAATTTAAGGTACAGTCCTTGAGATGGAACCCATGCTCAACACTGCTAAGATGGTAAAGAACCTGAGGCTAGATAGATCACACACCTAAGGTAAAACTATTGTTTTACTTAAGGAACATAGCAATAAATGACTCCTATTGATATTCTACTATATTCATAGATCAGTACCCTGCTCAATCCTCAATAGAGAAGTTTCCTCTTGCACAAGATGGAATAAATATAAAAACTCATGTGGTGGTCTGAATAAGAATGGCCCCTATAATTTCATATGTTTGAAATTTCATATGTTAGTCATCAAGGAGTGGTAACACTTAGAAGTATTGGAAGGTATAGATTTGTTGGATGAAGTATGTCATTGGGGAGGGCTTTGAGATTTCATAAGCCCAAGCCAGGTCCAGTGGATCTCTCTCTTTCCATTGCTGAGAATCCAGAAGTAGAACTCTCAACTATTTCTCCAGCAACATGTCTGCCGGTGGTGTTGGTGCTGTCATGCTCCATGCCATGCTAATAATTGACTAAGCCACTGAAACTATAAGCAAGCACCATTTAAATGCATTCTTGTATTTATAAGAGTTGCTTTAGTCTTGGTGACATTTCACAATAGAACGCTGACTAAGACAATCCACAATTAGACAATGTGCAGAGAGAAAATTTGGAACACTCAGTCCTAAATAGAATGACTTCATCAAATCACTCCTCTCAGTGCTTAGTGAACTCTGTAGAAGAGGAGGTAGAAAGATTTTAAGAGTCAGTGTGGGTGTAAGACTCTAAGGAAACAAGGCCTCCCAGATACAACAGGCTGTTGCACATATGAACTCATAGCCTGTGATAGCATGCACAGGGCCTGCATGGGTCTAAGCCAGTTGGGTTTCCAGACCTGAGTGGGGAATTGGACAGAAACCCCCATTCATAATGCAGAAGCTATCTCTTGTTGATACGCACTCCCAAAGGGAAAATTAATTTTCTCCAAAGAAATCTCATTGGTTATTCAAACCACACTTAAGGTCTGAACCCATGCCCAGCAGTAAATGGCCAACAAAAACTAGCTCTGTGGCATTTTTGGAGGTTCTTTGTCTCATGCTCTATTTGAAAATATTTTTAACTTTATAGATCTCGATTATATATTATGGTTTCTAATTTCATATTTTATTGGATTTCTGGGTAAATAAAAGTATTTCTATAACAGTACATATTTCTGATTATATATTATGGTGTCTGGTTTCATGTTTTTATGGGATTTCTGCATAAATAAATATGTTT